ATAGGAATGATAAGAATAATAACAAGCAGAATCGCAATATTAGTAGCAGCAATAGTATCTCCATTAGAGTACTAACTATACTAGGGTTTTCGGGTTCGGGTTGAGGGTACAGGATCAAGGGTCCGGCGTGTAGGGTTTTCCGGGTTACGGGTTGGGCGGTTGAGAGTTTAGGATCGAGGGTGTAGGGTATAGACTTCAGCGTGTAGGGGGGTGGGGTTAAGTTTCACAGAGTAGGATGTAGGGTTTGAAATTTCGAGCACAGGCTGTCGGCTTGAGAGATCAGAGCTGACGCTCCGATGGGCAGATGACCGTGAGGGTTTAGGGTTGAGGGTGTCGGGCTTATGATTGCGAGTGTAGCGTTTAGGGTTGAGGATTTATGGTGTAGGGCCAGGGTTGAGGGTCTAGGCCTAGGCTTCCGAAGGGCTTTGAGCGTTTGGGGCGGAAATTTCGGAACAAGAAACACTGTCTAGCTGGACAACTTTCGTGGTTGAATTCGTTTCAGCTCTTGTGGTGACTTGACTATACTTGCTTGTAGCCATTACCTTAACCCCAAATAACCTACCTTTTTAGGGACTCATGTAAAGACATCATATTAGGGGACCCTAAAAAGGTAGGTTCCTCAGGGTCCAGGTAGATGTTACTAGTAACTAGTGTTGCTATATTGGTATCTTCTTCAGCCCAAGACCGGAAACTCACCAACCCGACAGGCACAAACCAGAGTTTGGTGCTGCAGGGTTTAGGCTGGGGTTGAGAGTCTAAGGTTTTCGGGTTTAAGGCCAGTGTACCTAGACCTGCCATCTTCCCTCTATTCGACCCTGAGTACCCACTATTTGGGACCATATACTCCTATTTGAGGGTACAGGGAGGGTCCTGGTAGGAGAGCATTTCGGTTTGGGGTGAAGGCTGTCGGGCGGTCAGGCTTTAGCGGCCAAAGGCACTTCCAAAGGTTCAGGATTCCGGGTTCAGGCTTCTGTACCCGAAATCTTCGGCCCCAAACCCTGAACTCTCAGCCCGTCACCCTAAACCCTACACTCCAAAGTTTAGGTTTCGGGCTTAAACCCTACACCGTCAGCCCTACACCCGCAACCCCACACTCTGAACTCCTAAACCCTGCAAGCCCTTACCCTACACAGCCCTAGGCAGTGGGCGGCTGGAGTCTACATCTCAGGTTTTCCCGCCCCATGCTCGGGCCAGGCAGCGCATTAGAGCGTTCGGGTTGAGGGGTTTGGGCTTTAGGGTTTAGGGCCTAATTTGGGGTTCTTAATTTTTGTCGTTTTGTCTGAAGCCCTATTCAGTCACCTATACTGGCCTTAGGGTTCAGGGTTGCGGCTTTGATCCCTCGTGCCTAGCCCCATGAAGTATTAATATAGGTTAGAAGCTGCCCCCGACCCTGTAATAGTGACTATGAGGATTATATCAGGGCCCTATTATGTTCCCATAATACCACTATTACAGGGTGGGGACCCCTTCTAACACATAGGCGAGTTCTAGGACTATACGTGCCAGGCTGGCCAGGCTGCTAGGGTACTTAAACCGCTACGCGCATCCTTCTGTAGATCCAGGTCACAGCTTTCGGTGTTCGGGCTAAGGGTGAGCTTTGGGGTCGAGTTTCGTGGTTCAGGCTTTAGAAGTCCAGCTAGAGCTTTATGTTCTTGCGGCTTAGTATTCATGTTACGGGTTTTAGTTAGCCCCTTGTCTTGGGGGTCTTCCTCCTAAACGCTAACACCTAAATCCTATTCCATCTATACCTTACACGCGAATTCCCCGAGCCCTACGCCTGAGCTTCGAATTTATGTTTCACGTCTTTGGGTGTTTCCGGGCTTTAAGTATTCGATTGTGGCGGGTAGTGGACTTTGGGCTTTAGACCCAAAGTCTCGCATAGTTTGCATGGGTTTGCCCTTTAGGAGGTATTGTGCTTTTGTTTAAGGTCTAAGGTGTAGATTTTAGCTCTAGATTGGCTGGCTTAAGTTTAGATATTGCTTTGTTGAGTTGGACGGCACAGGCGGGTTCCATCAGCGACTTCCGCCAATGGGCTCTGGACATTGCCCCGGTCGGCGAGGCGCGCTGCATGTTGGCAGCATCGAGCTTCCCTTGTTTGTACCGCAGCACACGATCCATCTGAGTGTCCTGTCATCCTTATGCGTACATCCCTGCATACATCGGTGCATAGACTCAGTTGGACATACATTCATGCATGCATGCATTCATACGTACAGACATTCTAAGATATACATACATATATATATATGCAGAGACAGACAGACAGACTGACAGACTGAAGTATCTGCATGTCTGTCAATCTACTTCTCTATCCACCTATCGAACTATCGATCTGCCGATCGATCTAACGGCTTGTCGAAGTATCGCCCTATCAATCTTCGATCTATCTATCTGTCTGTCTGTTTATCTGTCTATCTACCTATCTGTCGATATGTCTGTCTATCTACCTAGCTATATAATTGTCTGTCTATCTTTATAAGACTTCGCATTGATGACCACAGCATGCTGAGCCACTGGAATGCCTTCGCAACAAAGCAAACTAAGCCCGTGAAACCCAAACCGCGCTGGCCGTCAGGACTCCTGGATGCGCGTGGAGGACCTCACCCGTTCCTCTCGAAACCCTAAACCCTAAACCGCAAAAAATAAACTAAACCGCTCTCGAAACACGCCTAAAGTAGCTTGGTCTCAGCAGTCACAACATCCGAAGCTGGAAAATCAAGGGGTTCGGTTTCAAGGCCGTAGAGAGACATCTTGGCTCTCAGAAGATTTGCCGACCCAACACCCTAACATAAACAAACACCCACCACCAGTAAACTGCCAAGCCCTCCCAAGCCCTCAACTTTCGCCGTGAGCTTTGAACTCTAAGTCCAGATTCCCGAATATAGCGGACTAAGGCAATTTGATCACCCCTACCCCAATTCATCATGAATCACGGGGACAATCCAGACTACTCTGTTCTGAAAGTCCTGTATCCCGTACATGTGTACTCGCTGAGCTTATTCCTCGAAGCCAAACCTCGTCTTTTCGTAGGACTGCAGTGGATCTGTGCGGGACACGACCACCTGCGAGGTGGTTTGGCTTAGAATGCTGGGGATTTCCGGCTGGCTCTTACGTTGCGGGTTTAGGGCTTAAGGCTTATAGGGTTGAGGGTTTAGGATCGTGTGTTGCTGTGTTTGGCAGGAGCTTAAACGGTCTCCTACAGATTTCATCGAGTGTTCTTGATGCTGGGAGTGGATAGCATTTTGCGTGCGGGGTGGGGCTGTGTTCCTGGATGGGATCCGATAACCAAAGACTGAGCTTCAAGGGTGCTTGTAAATTTGATATAGGGGCCTCAATAATTACCAATATTAGTTTTGGGGGGATCTTCATCATATTTATAGTCTCATAGGGCCCCCAAAACCCTGCTCTAGTTATTGACCCGGATTCATGCCCAAGGAGTCTCCTGTTAGACGCCCTGCAAAAGCCTAAACACCTGTCTTGGAGTTTGTTATACACTCTTTTGGAGCCTTACCAACTTGCGCAGAACATAAGTTTAAAGGAAAATAAGATAGCGTTAGATCCCAAACCTTCCCAAAACCCCACCCTGGGCTCGAAAACAATGTACAATGCGCACGATCAACCCCGAACACCTACATCTTGAGACCGAGCCCTAAACCGCAACTGACCCCAAACTAGCTTAGAGTACGCAAGCTTTTTTGGCATGATCGTCCTTAGCATTGGGTGGGGGGGCTTCTCAACTTTGACAGTATGCGTATTGGCTGTAAACTTAACTTTTCAACATTTTGGGGTTCTTATAAGCTAGTCGATTCTGAAAGTTTTAGCTTTTACTTCCTTGGGTTTTGGGGCCAGTGAGTTATTTCGGCGACTCCTGCCTTCCGACTGAAAAATTTGACTCCACTGCCGCTGAATTAGGGACTATATACCTCAAATCATATCAGGGATCCCTTCATAATTTTTCGGTATATTCAACTGATTAAGGCATAATAGGTTTTTTTTGGGGGGGGCATTTTACTTTGGTTTCTGATGAGGAAAACCCAAAATGACAGTATTTCGGCAACTCCTCGGAAGGTGACCGGGCTCACCTCGAACATGTTCTACGTGGCCAGGAGCTCGAGTGTACAAATGTGCCGCTCAGGGTTTCGAGAGGGTTTGGGGTTTCTATGGAGTTCTTAAGGTTTCTATAGGGTTCAGCGTGAGGAGTAACCAGCTGCGGCAGTAGCTACTGCATCATCCGTAGATGTTGTCGCCTTGACGGGTGGTTCCGGATCCTATGCACGTTCGTCTTTGGGTGTCGTAATTTCGGCGTTGGGGTTTGGGATTCCGAGTGAGCTGGCCAAGTGTCCATGAATTTCCATGAATGCCCAGGGCTTTGAGCCTCGCTGTCCATTTCCACAAGTTGGGCTTCGTAGTTAGGGCCGTTAGGATTTAGGGTATAAGGTCTAAGGTTTAGGGTTTAAGGTTAAGGGTTTAAGGCTTAGGGTTTAGGGTTCAGCCCCTTGCAGAGTTGTGATTGAATCGATTAACAGATGCACGTAGGCAGAGGGCCGTTAGCACTTCACGCTGCGAATCTGCGAGTGCTAGAGTTGTTGGGTGTGGGTTAATGGACGAGTGAGAGCTTAAATGGAGGTTCATGCGTAGGTATAAAGAGGGTTATAAGTAGGGTATCTACACTTATGACCCATAACAGGGGACGTATAGCCGCACTTACAACTACCCTAACCCCTAAACTCCAACTACGCGTGCGTCTGTGTGAGAGCATGACGAGTGTCCGAAGCCTCCGAAGAGTCAAGCGCTCACAAGTGGCCCGGCAAACGCTAATATGGGGGGCCTTACAAAAACCTATATATTTTTTTTTTTGGTGGGGGGAGGTCGTTAGTATAAGGATAGTATAATGGGCCCCAAAACCCTGTTCTAATTATTAAATTAAGGCCCCTATATTCACCAGAGTTCCTCAGTCACAGAACTGAGTTGCAACCTGAAGCGTTTCGTCGTCCTCTGCCATGCTACTGGTGCGGGGACTTTCCGGGCAAGAGCTGGCTGCTGTTCACGCGGAGGACTTTCGTGACTTAGCTGTTGAATCCCACCCCTTGCGCTAATTTGGTATAGATAGCAGTATATTGAAGTTTGGTAACGACGTTGTTTACTGTGCGGGGTATTGTGGAAGTAAGGCGATGTTCGGGCTTTGAAGCAGCACTTGCGCAAACTGCACAGCCACCCGGTGAGCCTGCAACAGCTTGTACGTGAGGGCAGCTGTTTGAAGGATGATGATCGAGTCGACTCAGCAACGGAGCTTCAGCTGGTACTGCTCTCCTCCGTCAGCGATGTGCAGAGTTGGCAAGCAGGCGCCGAGCTTGTGGACTATGCTGCCCGTATTGGTGATCTCCAGGCAACACGATCTTTGCTGCAAGCAGGAGCGAAAACTGACTTGCGAGATGATGCTGGCCAAACAGCTCTTATGCATGCCGCCTGGGGCGGCCATGTGCAAATCGTGCGTTTGCTTGTGGAGCTTGGTGCTGACAAGGACATGCTGAGCTTTGGCATCACCTATGGCATGTCAGCTCTTGGCATGGCAGCTCGCAGAGAAAGACTTGACATCGTTCGCCTCTTAGTGGACGCTGGCGCTAACAAGGACCTGCAGGATCTTAACGGAAGAACAGCGCTTATGCATGCAGCGATTGACGGCCACAAAGCGATCGCATATTTGTTGATGGATGCCGGAGCTAGCACGAGCTGGCAGGACTCTGACGGCAGAACGGCCCTCATGCATGCGGCCGCCAACGGACACATTGGCATCGCTCGCTTGCTTGTACAATTCGGCGCGGACAAGGACTCTCAGAGTACTGGTGGCGTGACTGCTCTCATGCTTGCCGCGGCTTACGGCCACACTGAGATCGCACGTCTGCTGGTGGATGCTGGCGCTGACAAGGAGTTGCAGGATATTCACGGCCGAACAGCTCTTATGTACGCAGCATTCGACGGCCACACTGACATCGCTAATTTGCTGGTGAATGTTAGCAATGGAGCGGACTTGCAAATGGTTGAGCGGGGAAAGTCTTTGGTGGTTGCTGCAGCACGCGCAAATTGGTTGCAGCCTTTAGCAGCTGGGCTGACATCGTGTGTTTATTGCGTCTCCTGGTGCATGCTGACGCTTGCACGAACCTGCCGAATGCCTCTGGTCTAAGAGCACCTGCAGCATACTGAGGCCGAACATGATTCATTGTTGGATGCTGGTGACGTGAAGGACTTCGCTAGCATGACATGCATCTCACATCCATCAGCGGCATCAAAGTCCACAACAGCCGATTTAGAGCTTCGAGCGTAGTCCAGGAGCCTCGATACCACGGCACTTGCATCCGTTTACAATGCTTGTATTCAGTCGCGACTACTGCGCTATACCCTGAACTCTGTCACGGTGGCATCTGTCGCAGGGCCTTGCTGGAATTTGTATACTAAGCATCCATAAACCAGGGGTTCATCAATCAGGGGTCAACATCCAGGCTGACAAGACTGTGACAAGACTCTCTTCAGTCAAGCTTCAACAATTAGCAGTTCCTGAGGGTTCCTTGGCTGAAGTATTGTGTAGCATACGCCAAATCCCGAGAAGGTCTTCTCAATAGAAATCTCCCATGGTCCGACTGTTCACGTCCGTAAAGGTCCAAAGGGCCCAACAGTTAGGTACTTGGGCTCTGGGTAATAACAACCGTAGGTTAGTATCGCGCGCTTGGACCGTATTCTTTGGCCGGTTCCTTGCGACTACGTCCAAATAGTCGTCCTCAAAGGGAAAGAAAGTGCCCAGGTCCGGGGAAGAAGCAATCCGCACAGGAACGACTCACAGCCTTTAACCCTGATCCAACGGCCTAAACCAATATCTAAAGCACAAATCAGAACCTAAGCCCCCCAAACCTCAAACGAAGCAATCCTTAAACCCAAACCCCAGACTAACCCGCCAAATGTAGCCCTTAAGCCTAGATTCCCGCTTCAACCCTAAACTCAAACCCATGAAACCTCACAAGCTCGAACCCCAAGCCCAGAACCTTCCATCTCACATAGGGGCTTTAAATTAATTACCTATCCTATTTCTGGGGGTTCCTTAGTACAACTATAGTGTAATGGGCCCCAAAACCCTATTCTAAATATTAAGGCCCCTATACTAGCCCAAAATCTGCACAAACCTCTTCAGACCCGGCACATCAGCAAACCTTAGGTACCTCTTCGTAAACCCTATCACGTCCTCCTCTAAAGCTCCTGCAAGGCCATGAAAAACGACGCAAAATTCAACAGCAACAGCAACAGTAGCAACAGCGCCGCAGAACCCTCCCCAGGACTCTCAAAAAGGACCCCGATAAAACTGCCCGAGGTTCGCGTGGCCGAGCTTTGTGCAAACAGCGCGTTGGATTCCGATCAGACGGCCGGGGCCTTCAAACGTCTGCCTTTGGGGTTATGGGCTCAAATAACCTACCTATTCAGGGACTTATATACTCTGACAGGATGCAAGTGGGGGTTTCCGAAAATAGGGGACCCTAATATAGAACTCTAAATAGTAGGATCCTTATTATAAGGACCCCAAAATGGAGGTACCCTTAATTTTTGGAAACTCCCAAATGTCTGCCTTCGGGGTTGACGGCTTGGGGTTGAGGGTGTAGCGTTTAAAGGTTTTGGGGTTATCGGCTTCGGGTTGAGGGTTTGGGGTGTTGGGGTTTGGGGCTTTGGGTATTTACAAAAGTGTATATACTATACTATACTCAGTGCATACGGGTGTCCATTAAGGCTTTAGAGGCCTGTGTTGTTTTTAGGGGATCCGGAGGCTCCTCTTAGGTTCTACATTATAAGCATTGCTAAACCCTCGGTCTCGAAAGTCTTCAAAACCCAAAGCCTCGTGCCTTTGCGATTCCCAGAACAACAAACTTCTCACATGTTGGCAGTTAACGCCCTCGGCCAAACCCGCAGAACTCGACCGAGAAACCTAAACCGGAAACCCAAACCATCCAACGCCTGTCTATCGATCGCCCTGGCTATGGAACACTGAACCCTGTCAAAACGCTAAGCCAGACTCTTGAACTTAGTAGCTGAGTGGATACACTTTACACTCTTGGGGATAATATTACCCACTGAAAAATCAAAGCTAAAAGTATACACTTCTTGGGGCTTATGAACTCAGCAACTAAGTGAACCCTTCTGCACGTATCCTTTGAAAAGCCTCGGCCGGAGTCACACAAAATGTCCAGATCACCCGGAGCCCTATGTCTTCATGTTCTTTAACCCGACCCAAAGCCCCATAAACCCAAAGCCAACCTAAGAACTTTCGAAGAAGGTCTTTAACCGTAACCCCCTATAACCTCTGAGCCAACCTAGGAACTTTCCAAGCAAGGTCTTTAACCCTAGACCCTTGAAGCCCTAAAACCGGCCCAAGAACGTTCGAAGCGACGTCTTTAACCCAAAAACCTGTAAACACTAAGCTAACCTAGCAACTTTCGAAGCAAGGTCTTGAACCTAAACCCTATAAGCCCTACACCAATCTAAGAACTTTCGAAGCAAAATCTTTATTCCTAAGCCCTATAGACCCTAAACCAACCCAAGAACTTTCGAAGCAAGTTTTTAACCCTAAACCTTAGAAACCTCTAACCAGCCTAAGAATTTTACAAGCAAGGTCTTAACCCCAAACCTGTTAAACCCTAAACCCTATAAGCCCCAAACCAGCCTCGCAAGAACTTTCGCCGATAATCCTAAACCAACACTAAGAACTTTCGAAGCAAGGTTTGCAACCCTATAAGCCGCATAAACCCTAAACCAACCCAGCCAACTTTCGAAGCAAGGTCTTTGGCCCCTAAACCCAATATTACTTATTTTTCTTTTCCCCTAAACCCCAAACTCTGAACCCTCAACCCTAGACCTTAAACCCTAAATCCTAATGGGAGTTTCTGAAATAGGGCACCCTAATCAAGTACCCTAAAGAATAGGATCCTCATTATAAGGACCCCAAAACAAGGTACCCCCGATTTTCGGAAACTTCCGAAGATCTTTCGAAGCAAGGTCTTTAACCCTCAACCCTAAACCCTATATGTCCGATAGAAGTCCTAACCAACCAAAAAACTTTCGAAGCAAGGTCTCCGAGCCCGTACGCACCAAGCCGGTGCCTGCCGCAGCACCGACGCAGCTCAGGATACTCGAGCTCGGCCACTCGTTTCGAACGAGGTATAGGGTTTATGCGCCAGCATCTGCGCACCCCCCCCCCCCCCCCCCCCATGGTAATCCCCCTCCCCCCCCCTGTGGTTCCTGTGGTTCCCCCCCCCCCCTGTGGTTCCTCTTGGTTTTCCCCCTCCCTTTTGTGGTTCTTCTGGTTCCTGTCTCCCCCCTCCCCCCCTGTGGTTCCTGTGGTTCCTCCGCGTGGTTGCTGCTGCTTTGTTGTTGCTGCTGTTCTTCTTCTTGTTCTTGTTCTTGTTCTTGTTGTGTGGTCGCCCGGGTCGGGGGGGGGGGGGATACCATTGGGGGGGGGGGGGGGGATCGAGAACGCGGAACGCGGACGCATATGTAGGGGATTTCGGGCTTCCGTGAAAGGGTCCCAGGGGGTTTAGGGTTTGGGTTTTGGGCTTATGGGGGATTTAGGGTTTAGGGTTTATGGGGCTTAGGGTTTAGGGCGTAGGGGATTGGGGCTAGGAGTGTATAGGGTTGAGGGCGTAGGTTATAGAGTTCGAAAGGTGTGTTTTCAGGGGTCCAGGGCTTAATTAATAGGGGTTTTAGGGTTCGGGGTGATGGCAGAGGGTGTGGGGTTCAGGGTTCAGGCATTCGGGCTCTACGTGTGGTCGCCCTACTTGTAACTGCCTTGCTGTTCACTATCGAACCCTGAACACGAAGCCAGCTTAATCCCTACACCCGGAAACACTACCTAAACTCCCCAAAGTCGGCAAAACAACGGCCCAAGCCCTTTAACAACATGTTCTACGTACTTTGGGGGTCCAGGTACTTTCAACGCTAAATCCCAAGCCAGTATGCTCGGCGCATCACGAGGCCCCAGCAGCATTTTTTGGGCACTAACTAAGGCGCCGGAGCCTTAACCCGGGATAATTTGAAGTATGTGTGAATATATTTTTTTATTATGGGCATTAGGCTCTGCGGGCCTATATAAAGTCTTTTCATCCCATGTCAAACATAAAGCCCCACATGCCAGGCATCCTTATCGCAAAATCTAGTACTGTAGTAAACCCTGGTAGAACCGTGTAAAGCTCTCGTATGAGCTGAATTTCCCCTGAACCTCCTGCTGCTACAGTAGATCCTCGATAGAGTTGTTGAGGGCTCCAGAATGCACTAACTGAAGCCGAAGCCTGAATAGGGCCCTTCGTGAGCCCTGTTGAGACCGTTCACAACGTCCCTCACACAAAACCTAATATCGAGCCCTTGCAAAGCGGATAAAGCCCTTGTCAAGACCCTTGAATCCCTGATCTTGAAGGCACCCTAAGCCCTAAACCCGATGGTACCCTAAACTTCAAACCCTAAACCCTCAACTTATAAAGCCCCTTAAACCCCTATAGAGATACATTGTTTCTACTATATGAATACATTGACCTTGAGGGTTACAAAACCCCTTAAACCCCTTTATCTTGAAGGCAGCGAGTCTCTGCGGATCGCCTGGAGCCCTGGCAACATGCAGGGGCACTGCGTGCCTTGGCCAATGGAAACGTGGGCCTTCGGGTTTGGGCTTGAGGAATTCGGGCTTAGGGGTTTGGGGGTGTAGGGTTTAGGGTTGAGGGTTTAGTGTTTAGGGGTTTGGGGCTGGTAGGGTTTAGGTTTGTTTAATCGGGTGCCGGATTTTTGATTGGTAAATCTCGGTCGTGTACATCAGTTTTGTTTGGGGTTTGAAGGGTTAGCATGTTATGGGCTTTTGTCCGTACAAGAAGGTTAAGCTGGGAAGGTGAAGGTGTTTGATGTTGAGGCTTTCAATGTTTAGAGTTTCGCGACACCGGGTTATGGATACCACAAGTCAAGTGCAAAGTGTGGCCTGAGATAGAGTTGGGTTTATGCAGGTTAAAGGTCTGTGTGTTTCAAGTTTTCGTCTAGTTTCCGCGCCTAGTATTATACGGGAGTTTAGGGATTTGGGCCCAAGACAGTTTATGGTTTTGTTGGTTTCGAATCGTGGGTTTTGGGTTTAGGGGTAGGCTTTTCAAGGCCGAGGATTTAGGAATGCTT